GGGGAGGAGAAATACACTTTTGTCTTCTTTTATATATTTTTCATTCTCCAAGAATGAAGAGTCAGAGCTGTCACCAGGCACTGCAAACTCACACTATGATTTGGGTGAATCCAGCTGGATGGAGTGCGTCAAACATAGGAAAACTAGCCCCTGTGCAACTGTCAATACTTTATCTGTGAGGTATCGGACGCCTCAGTCTCCTGCAGGGTGGGTAAGAGGTAGGGAGCTTTTAAGGCTGGAAGCTGGTGTATAGAGAGTTTCTGCTGTTTGTGTGTGGTGGGACATGTTCACCCACTTCAAAAGCATGAACGACGGCTTTGGCAAATGCTGCCCTCGGCCGAATGGGAGGACGATGGGAAGAAGGGAAGGAAGAAAGGTCGGGGGGTTAAAATAAAGATGTATTAATAAAAATAAAACTTTGTTGGTTCAGTAGGGTGACAGACTGACATAAGAAGAACACAGTCCTTGAGAATAAAAGCAAACAACAGCAAACATTCTGACACACAACCAAATAACCAAACAAAAAGAAAAAAAAGGCAAACAAGCAAAACAATCAAACCATACAAAGTGACAACAGGCCTTTCCAAAGTGACATCAAGTTTCTCTTTTTAATCCCATTCAAGTCCATCTCCCATAACTCTTTGTAAACCAGGAAGTACACAGTAGCTCCTCTTTATGGCTGCTCAGCAAGGTTAGGGTCCACTCTGAAACAACAGGGGTCTCTGAGACTGAACCTAATATTGACCTGTTTCAGAATCATCAGTGATAAGCAGTGACTTCAGCAGCATCATCAGGTAGCTGATCAACTTAATACAGCACATTCAGAAAAATAGAAACACATAGTGCAGGACAGGTACAGATGAGAGAGGGGACTCAAGTTTGCTTTATACAATCACATTTCTGCAGTAACGCTAAACATTCCACCACTGAACAGTTTTACATCTGTTGGACTGGTTCCTTGAAGCACCACTGTACATAAGGTGGATGTTTGTGGCCACTCTGAACAAGTGTTGGGACCAGTAAGCAGGCATTACTTCTATGCATTGCTTCATGAAAACTGACTTCAACCAAAACATTTTCACGTGAATCGGCCTACTGTAACATCCATGTGCATATCTTGGCAAGAAGCCGATGATTAGGAGGCAAAAACATGACTGACAGCAGCAGGAGAGGACCCCAACCCTGGAATACAAACTATTGAATGTAGCCACTCTGGAGCATAGCAAGGGGAGAAAGGGATTCTGGATGACTTGGAAAGAAAAAAGGCAAGGAGTGTGACACTTCTCTTCTATCTTAGCATCACATCTTCCCTCTGAGGAGGGCAAGTACAAGAAAAAAAAAAGAGAAATTTAAAAAAAAGCAACAAGTCCTGGAGTGCTGCAGTCCTCTCTGTTCCCCTCTCCTCTGACCAGAGACGAGAGAGGAGGAAGACTGCAGTCTGAGATGAAGAGTTGGTATCTGAAGCGCAGTCACCCTCTCTACCTGGCCTCCTCCCGTCTGTCCTCTCTCTTGGTGCGAACGGGCTGAGAGCCGTCGGCAGGGTGCTGCACCCAGTTGTTGTCATGGAGCCCGACGCGGCAGCCTGGCGTGTCCTTGTCGGTGCGCCGGCAGCACATCCAGTAGGAGCGTCCGTAAGGCAGGTCGTGGTGGTAAGGTTTGGGGTGCCAGCGGCACAAAGAGACGTCCCCGCGCTCATACTGACGCTTGCACTGCTTGCAGGGGTCGTCCCTGTAAAGGGGGTCCTGGTTCCAGCGTGAGTCCACGGCGCGCACCCCGTACGTTTCGATCAGCACCTTGAAGCAGTGACAGGTGCACTTGAGGGCTGCCAGGGCGCGGGTGGGCAGGTAGCTGAAGATGTTCACCATGATGTGGTCGGGGAGCAGGAGCATGTACTGCCGCGGCTCCAGGAGCCGCTGGATCTGAAAGCGGATCTCCAGGAAGTCGTGGGAGACGTGCCGGTACAGGCGACACAGGGAAGGGTCCGGACAGTCCTCCCTGACACTAGGAGAGTCAGGTCGTGTCGCCCGCTCCCCCGAGCCCACTGCCACCCCCGACCCTAGACTGTTGTTGTTGGCACAGTCCAAAGAGCACATTCCTGTCCCGCTGCCAGCGGTTGCTTTTACATCCTCCTCTGGTCCCCTGGGAGACTGAAGGAAAAACAGCTGTCCAGGAGGGGGATCATCCAAGGAAGAGTCGGCTGCGCTCCCAACACCCCCACTGTTCCCGCCCCCACTGGGAATCGCAAAACACACTGTCTCCTCCTGCACATTCTCTGTGCTGTCCTTCCCGAAGAAAACACACTGGTCTACAGCACCTGTCACCACCACCTCCACGTGGAAACCAGTCACCGGCTCCCTCCCCACACCTGCAGCTTTTTTCTCCCCTGAGGACAGCTCCTGTGTGGGGTCTGGGCTGCCGCAGGTGGGCCTGTCTGGGTGATGGTGGTCTGCGTCTGGTTTAGGAGCTGAAGCTGTGGCAGCCAGCAGCAAACTGCTGGGGTCTCTTGATGAGGGGCTGACCAGCTGGTATAGGTCACAGGTGATTTTCTCTTTGGCCCTGGCTGCTGCCTGATTACTCCCACCCCCACAGCTCATAAACATACAGCGGGACCGGCTAGCTGGTTCCAGCTGAGAACGTGGGTCCAGATTCGACACTCTAAAAGCTATCCTAACCTCACCATGACTATGATTGGATGGTGCAGTGGGTGGTACACCGTCTCCTCTCCTATGCTCGCTCTCTCTGTCTCGATTAGAAGAGTGCAGTTCAGAACCAGGACCCAAGTGGAGACGGTTCTCCAGGTTTTGAGACTCAAAGTGTGCGATGGCCTGCGCTACTCTGCACGACTCGTGCTGCTCTTCGAGCTCCTGGTCGGTCTGAATTGGAGATGATGGCTTCTCGTCTTCTTTGGAGGGCTGGCTGTGTGAACTGTTTGATACAAACACCACAGGAGATGGGTCTGACACTGTGCCCCGGAGCAGAGTGTGCTGGCCGGGGCTAAGGCCCGGACCGGGAGCAGTAGTGGGTGATTGGTGGTTCTGGTTCCCATGAACCGCCACAATCCCCTGAAGGGCCATGGCAGTCCTCTGCTCGACTAAGGCAACCATCTCTGCCACTGAAAGCAAATCCGTTTCAGTCACGCCTCCGAGGTGTGGCTCATCAGGACTAGGAGGGGAAACGGAGCTGTCGTGGTTCAGAGCATGGGAGCGTGTTGGAGGGTCGTAGGAGGAGCATCGTCTTCGTCTTTTGGCTTTACTGCAGTCTGTTGCCCAGTTACCTTTAACCTGTAGGAAAATGATTAGATAAATATATAAATCAAGCAGAAACGTAAGTCACAGCAGCACTTTGAGTCAGACTCTCACCTTCATGGCACTTGGTCTGAGCTGGCCGGTTCCACTGAACTGGTGCGCGACAAAGAAGGCAATCTTCTCCTTGGTGTTGCCTGGCTTGATAACATACCAGGTGTCTAACAGCACACGTCCATCCTGCATTTGGGTGCCCACATTTGGTGGTGAAGGAGGGGCAGAAGGGGGCTGAGGGGTCTGGCTCTGCAGCAGGGAGCCAGATTCAAGCTCAGGTTCAGGTGGAGTGTTTTCTGAGCCCACATCCTCCACTTCTCCATTGCCCTCCTGCACCCCAACCATCATCCCTACATCTTCGCTTTCTCCCGCCGCCCTCCTGGCACCCTGGCTGAGCTCGACCTTGCAGAGCGAGGGGGGCCCTACACCGCTGGCACCTCCGCCGCTGCCCCCCGAGCCTGGACTCCGAGCTTTGTTCTGGGAGTAAGTGCCAAAGGGGCGGGGGCACCACAGCCGGATGTGGGAGAAGGTGTCGCGGTCCATCAGGACGAGGACCACTGTGGCATGTCTGCATCTACGCTGGCCAGTAAAAACCAGAAGCTCTCATCGTTGGCTTCCTGTTCCCCCCAACTGGCAATAGGGCCAAGCTGGCAACCAACACTGGGCCTAAAACCTGCAGGAAGAGATGAGAAACAAAACAGACAGAATTACAGATTAATACATTTAAAATTAAGCTCACATGTGTAGAGTAACAAAGCTTGCCAGTGCTGGAGTTAATGTCGTTAATCAACAGCCAATTAGAGCTGCAGTGAATGATTGCCTTGAGGTTTTAAAACTGGCTGTTCGCTAAACTCGCAGACCAACCACAGACTGTAGAGACAAGAACTATCATACTGTTATGGAAACCAATCACATACAGCCCACTTCAGACTTAGACCAAACTTAATTAGCAGTAACATTTGCTGCTCTAGCCTTAGACCACTCCCCCCACTCCGATGCCTCCAAATCAAATTAAAAAGGATTACATTTCAGGTTTGAGATCTGTGGGCAGCAGATGAAAGAGATGAAAGACAAAACACAAAAGCACCAAATGGATCCTCTTCTCTCTCTGCCATCTCAGCTTTTCAAAGAGGACTTGACTTAATAGGGAGCAACACAAGGAGGAGCATACAGGCATACGCTGGACCTATTTTTAGTAAACATCAGCTCAGGGGTGGGTTAGAAGAGAAATTGTTGTTGCCGTCCTCCGTGTCCTCGCCCTTCTCTCCCTGTTTACTCCCTCACTACAGGACGGGGAAAGGGGAAGTCTTTCGTCCACCCAGCATGCTTTGTTTCTGCAGCTAGCCAAGCAACGGGGAATGCCAGGAACGTGCCAAATTTGTGAGGACACATTTGGGTCATTGGTAAATTGTTTTGGGCTTACTTAATGTTTGCAGCCCTGAGAAACTATTTTTAAAAGGCACTTTAAATAAATATAATACTTTAATTTATATTTTTGCTTCACAAGAAATAAGCTTAAACTCAAACTGTTAAGTCATTGTGTCAAAGAATTACAGGACTATCATAGTTTTCTGATTACAGTATTAAAGTATTCAAAGGGTCACATTGCACTTATTGGTTTAATCAGGAAAAATATGTTAGCAACATGTTTGTTTGCAGAAAGTACAGCTCAAATCACCTTTATAATTGTAACTTCAGCTCGTCAAAAATGTCTCACATTATATGTCAGGAACCCCAGCTGGTTTCAGTGTAAACATGTAGAAAGTGACGGTTCCCACTTGTGTTAAAGACCCGTTCAAGACATCCACTGCTGGCAGGGACAGACAAACTCCAGATTAGACTGGTTTGCTACGTTGGAGAAATGTGTTAACATTTCCACAACTCTTAACTAAATGTACACTGCTTGCCTGGCCAAAAAATTTTTAAAAAGTTGCCACCAAAAAATTTTTAAAAAAAGGTCACACTATTTCGTTGGACCCCCTTTAGCTTTAATTACGGCACACATTCGCTGTGGAATTGTTTGGATAAGCTTCTGCAGTGTCACCAGATTTATTTCCATCCAGTGTTGCATTAGTTTTTCACCAAGATCTTTCACTGGTGATGGTAGAGTCTGACCTTCTCCAGCACATCCCAAAGACTCTCAATGGACTCTGAACCACTCTTTCACAATAAGAGCCCCATGAATCCTGGTGTTATCTTGGAATATAGCCGTGCCATCAGGGAAGAAACAATCCACTGATGAATAACCTGGTCATTCAGTATATTCAGGTAGCTGACCTCATTGAGCACAACCTGTTGCTGAACCTACCTGACCAACTGCAGCAACCACACATCATAGAGCTTACTTACATCCTGGTGGACACTTTTTATTTGGCTGGGCAGTTTATCTAATAACTGTAAAACTGCTTTCTTTGTGACAGATTAAAATACAAGTGTAACCTGTAGCAGTGCTGGTGGCTCATCAGACTGTCTTTTAGTTCATATCAAACTGTTTCAATCAATCAAAAACCTTTCCAACTTCAACTGCAGCTCTGCACCCCTCCTCCTCCATCCAGCTCGGATGTTTTTTAATTTTATTTATATACCAAAGTACCTATTAGCTGTTTGCAAGCCATTATACTACTTGGCACAACAGAAAATGGCCCACACTCATCCAGTGCTTTTCTAGTCTCATTCAGATGCTTCAGAGCACTTTACAATCATTCACTCATACTGTGTTTTCTATTATACAGTTTATATTCTCTATAGAACATCTCCTTTTATTCTAGATCATACGCCAACACACAAATCAGTGGTGGGGGTTCAGTGTCTTGACCGCACACATTTTGGCACACTGCAGGAGCTCAGGATTGAAGCCCCAATCCTCAGATTGGAAGATAACCTCTCTTCCACTGGGCTAGCTTGTCTTGTGCTAGAGTATGGAGGGATAATAAATAACTCAACAGCTACGAAAGAAGGGAGAAAGTGAGATTGTAAAGCATTCTAGCTGCTGTTTAGACTATGCTGCAGTGCCGAGATACATGAATTCTTTCAAAATGAACAACTGTGCCACAAATGACCAGCACCTCTCTGACCTTTAGGTAATTTAATTCCAACCGAGAAAACAAAATGATTGAATCCATTGAGACCTGAAATTGATTGTGTCAACTCTCTGTTTATGATCGCCAAACAGGAAATTTTAGAAAATAGGTTGCTGTTTTTAAACACTCTGGTGATCTCACAGTTCTCTGAATTGTAATTAAATCGTGAGGTGCTTGAATATTCCCATTCCTATTTATGAGGCCATCCTGATGACTGAGCAGCACAGATATCACCTCTCTTTAGAAAATAAGAGGGGTAAGAGAATCACGCCTGAGGTTATTGAACATAATAATGTAGTTAACACTGATACAAACAATACACAAGATCAGCTCACAAATTGGAGATCTAAGTTATGCTGTGAATCATGTATCAGACTCTGAAACTTGTCCTGTGACAGAAACTGACCACATATTTTTTTATCAGACCACTGTTTGCGGCCAGACTACCTGATACACGACCTCTGTCAAAAGTAGGACAGAAAAAAGGGCAAACGGTTCTACCTACAATTTAAATTTTATTTTTTTCTTTTAACTAAGTAAGTAATGACAGACCATTAAAAATTTTGCAGATTTATTTATTAAAAAGAAAATATTTTCTCAGACAGATGTCACAAGAGGAAACATCTTTATAAATTGTTGAGATGGATAAAAGGGGGTCAACAGTTTAGAGGAATACTCTTGTTTGTCCAGTTATCATCTGTTTGAGACACCATTCACCTGTCTTATTCCCAACCAAATTATTAATGTTCTATAAACAAGAAATGACAAACGCTGTTAGATTCATCAACACACTTTCATCATCCAGACACAGGAGTAAAAATATGTCTGGTCATAAATATTATCCAGTATTTTTCACAACTTATGTCTTTTCAGATCCTTTATAAAAACCCTGCAAGTACATAAAAAACTCCTAAATGTAGTGTCTTTAATTAAGGAAAAGGTCAGTGCTGCTGCAATAAGAGTATGGATGCACTCCAATATTATGTGCAGCAGCTGGTCAGCGCAGCAGTCACAGTGCACCATTATCCATTTTATGACAAAAAGATTCATTAATACAATATTTTCCCAGAATTATAAGATTTTGAATGAAGACAAAACTGAAGTTATTTTATTTGGTAATTATTCTCCTCTTGATGGTTGCCCACTTGCTCCATATTGCTCATCTGTGGTCAAGAATCTTGGGAGTGTTTTTAGACGGCACTTTTAAATTTGAGAAACAAATATCTTCGGTTGTTAAAACCAGTTTTTATCAGCTCCGTCTAATCGCCAAAGCAAAATCTTACATTCCCCACAAAGACCTTGAAACTCTTTTCCATGCTTTTATTACATCTAGACTGGACTATTGCAACTCTTCATATGTTGGTTTGGAACAATCATCTCTCCATTGCGTCTTTTAACGGGTTCTAGAAGGCAGGACCACACCACTCCTGTTTTATCTGACCTGCACTAGCTGCCTGTTCACTTTCGCATTGATTTTAAGATTTGTTTACTTACGTTTAAAGTTTTAAACGGTCTGGCACCCAGTTATTTATTGGCCCTGTTGCACTTTTATACCCCAAACAGAGAACTTAGATCCTGTAATCAGATGCTTTTAGTGCAGCCACAGGTAAAACTGAAGCATAGAGGGGAACAGGCTTTTGCTGTGGCGACCCTCAGACTCTGGAACAACTTGCCTCTTGAGATCCGTACTGCAGAGTCTGTTCAGTCTTTTAAACCTGACTTAAAAACTCACTTTTTTTACACTGGCTTTTAACTCAAGTTTAGTTTGAGCTACCTCAGGATTTTTTTATTTGTGTCTTTTTATTTTGTTTACAGCTTATAAGTTAATAGTTTTATTGTATTGTGTCTGTGAAGCACTTTGGTCAACACTGTCGTTTTAAATGTGCTATATAAAAAAAAAGTGATGATGTATATTTTATCATATTGCCCATACCCATTAGGGTTTTAAAAAGGGATGTCTACTTGACGTTTATAAGTTTTGTTGCTGCAACAAATGTTTGTTGCAGGTCCATCTCAGGAAAACACATTTGTGAAGCACTTAAATACCTTTTTTGTATACTCTGTTGTAAATTTTAGTAATAATTGTCAAGCTGAGACCGAGGCAAGATCACAACCAATCTGTTCTACTCTGATTCATTTTTCTGAGGCTAATTGATATTTTAAAAACTATCCCAAAAGAAGAGCTACAAAACAAAACTTGTACTTATTCCAGAGCCAGGCAGAGCTCTCTGCGCAATCAAGACCAAGCTGATCAATGAGTTTTACGCAGGTAATGGTTGATGTATTTTAAAGAGGACATCTCGGCCGTCTGCGTTCAATTTTGGCCTTTAAACGCGTTTAAGCTCACATGCTTCAAAACGGGTCACTTGTTCCTTTTTGGGCAACGGCGCACGGGCGGCGAGTTGTACATTCGGACTAATGGATTGGCTGAAAAAAGAGGTGCAAAATGCAAACACCTCCCACACAGTGTGGTGCACAAACATAAATGCTTCCTCTATAATCACACAGCAGCAACTAAGAGCAGACAGATTACACAGTAGATGACCATGCTTTTGGAACCACTTTAATTTTCTGCCTCCATTTTTTTTCATCCACTCTTCTTCGCCCTTCTCTTCTCACAATATCTTTTGTCAGACTGAAACCCCAAATTGTTGCTTTCTGTTCTATGTTACAGTTTTCTGCTTCAGTAAAGCTTAGACATTAGATTAAAAAGTGCATAAATCCAGTAAGTTAATAAATAACATTAAGTTTTCAGAATGGACAACACACACACACACACAATTTCAACCGACAACATAAAGCTATAAAAATGTGTTTACTGCCTGGTCAGATTTACGGCCCTTTCCCAACGTGAACGAATATGCAGATAAAGTGCTAACACAACACTGGTGTAATAAAATGACTGCTAACTGCACAGAAGCTCATTTGTGCAGCAAATGAACCCTCGTTGTTTTTGGAAAGCTTTGTTTTAATTTGTTTAATAAATACAACGTGTTTTGGGCTTTATTGTGAGAAGTCTCTTTCATTTGTTTTCAGTGTGTCAGAAGTTAGTTATTACGTCTCCATGTGTAGCTCTACAGCTGTATCTTATAGCCAGAGAGAGCTCTCCGAACCACTGCCGAGTCACCGTTCAGTCCCACTCGTGTTTGCTTTTCCATCTACTTCGTTTACTACTTCAAACAGTTTCTGCAAATAAAGCCTTTGATTTGGCTTTAAGCTTTCTGCATCAACCTAATCCATCAAATCCCGTCCGAGCAGAGCGGCGCTGCAGCAACGCTACAGTTCTTAGGGCTGCACGGTCCCGTATAACCTGACTGACAAACTGTCAAAGGAGGCACGATGATTTACTGCAGAGCTTAACACTCAACTATTTCTGCACAGAAACTGGTGCAAAGCATGTGTGCAGGTATGTCAAACAAGATGTCAAAAAGGTATTACAGCAAGCTATGCAGTCACAACCTAAGCCCTTCATGTTAGGTCAAATCCTACTATGTAGTTAAAAATCAAACAGCAGATGTTTCAGATGGACGACAGGATTGATAGTTTTATCTAACCTACATAAGTAAATCTTGTCAATAAGGAAATCAGGAAATGCTTATATTATTGTGAAATGTGTCATGAAACAGAAACACTTGTCTTGCTGCTGTTAAAGGCTTGTAGATTACTGCTGTAGTTAAAATGTAATAATCCACACACAACAGAAAAACTAAACTTTGCTGCTGAACGTTGTTTATTCCCTTATGTGATTATTCACACTACGTTTCCAAAATGACACGCACACGTTCAGAATTTAGTGTCCTGTATTCCTATTAATTTGACAAACTAGATTAGGAACTCGTGCATTCTTTTTTTTTAACTCTGAAACCTGGTTTTTTGTGTTCTATATCCACTTTAAGTAACCAATTATTAAAATTAATTTGCTAAAACATTAAAATCAATTCCATGTCTGTTCAAATTAAACATTTTAGCTTAATGGCTGCTGCTAGAACAGAAGCCTACAAAACATTCAGACGCATGCCAGCAAGACATAAAATAAATCTTAGCTTAATTTGTCTCTGCACCTATGAAGACAGAGCGACCAGCAGGCTAGCTTTGCTGCAAACTGCAGAACAACAGAGCCTGTAGAGCGCATTCCTCCATTCAGCCTGTATGCCATCTGTGTGTATGAGAGAGCATGGGCATGTTCAATGACATCGTCTATCACAGGTTGGACTGGGATGCAAGCTTTGAGCAGACATGCACAAAGGCCACTGTGTCAACAGAGGGCTTTCCTGCTGAAAGGTGGGTCAGTCATGCATTGCCTTAAAAAAATACATCCAATTGTGCTGCAAGTGGGCAAACAAATTAAAACAGTGTCACAATCATCGAAACTGCTTTCTTCTTGATGTAGGTGTGGCGTTAATACCTCCTTAGATATATAATCCTTTATGATCCTTATATAAGTTGTTCCATTAAACATGACATTATGGTGCATTATGTGTTAAAACTAACACTGTCATTTTTAACACATCATCTGTTTATGTTCCTGTGATCAGAGGATGTATCATAATACCAATCTAAGGTGTTTTATACGCATGCATTTATCCAACATGTTATAATGTGTTTCCTTCCAGCCAACACAGATTACAGTGCAGTCCTAATGAGATGTTCAAGTCAAAAACGAAGGCCTAACAGGTTACTTTCCTACTTTTCTGACAGTGTTTTAACTCAGC